GAGCAGGTTTTCTGCCGGCAGCAGTGGGGCAGGTTCTGCCGGGCAGCGGCCAGGGAGCAGAGCAGGAGCAGCAGCAGGAGGCAGGCAGCTCGCTGGGGCTGCCAGAGAACGGGCAGCGTTAGGGCAGTGACAGTGACAGGGCAGGGATGGGGACTGCCCGAGCCACGACTGTCCCCTCTCTGTGGTGTTCAACTGCCTCCTGCCCTCCTGGCTCAGCCCCACACCCGAGGTGCACCTGGAGCCTCACCCTTCACTGCCTGCACCTCACCTGTGTCCCAGCCAGATGTGGATCCTCACCATATCCCTGCCCTGCTCCTCACCTGTGTCCAGCCAGATGTGAGTGTCCTCACCCCACCCCTGCCCTGCTCCAGCTCGCAAACTCCCTCCTCTCGCTGCCCAGTGCTACAGAACGAGCCCTGAAAGCACCCATGCTGCAGGAATTGCATGCCCAGCTCCCTCCCAAGCATTCCCCCCATCAGTCAGGGATTCCCAGGGATTTGCTGCACACTCGGAGCTTCCCAAGAAACCAGCCAGGCCCTCTGTCCTGCCCTAAACCAGGACACCCTCCCACACCCCCAGCCCAACATCCTGACCTCCCACCCATCCCCAGGGGCTGCAGCCCCCCAGCCCCACCTTGCTGTTGGGCACCTCCATCCTTGCTGGGGTCTTCATGTGGCCGAGCAGCTCTGGGGCATGTCCCATCGGCAGCACAGCACCCCGCACTGCCACCGCCCCTTTATAGGGCCCGGCACAATGGGGCTGCCAAAAATACCTGGGCCAGTGGGAGCAGCGAGTGTCCGGGAGACGCGGTAGCCCGGAGACCATGCAGGCCTTTCCCCTCATTTGCAGCTCCCCATTGTGAGGGTGCTCACTGCAAGGGGTGCCTGGCACTAATGAGGCCATAATTGCCCACGGGCTGCGCTGCTGGGCTGGCACAAAGGGCTGAAGGTCAGCGCTGGCCGCTGCTCACAGCCCCATTAGGCTAATTAACCCCCCGAACAAAGGGTTAGGCTAATTAACCCCCCGAACAAAGGGGTGCCAGCAGCTGCACAGCTCCCCGACTGACGTGGGGAGCCATGGGGAGCTGTCACCCTGTGCTCGGCTGGTGCCAGGGAGGGATGGTGCCACCAGGGTCCTGTACCCGGTGCCAGGGAGGGACAGTGCCACCAGGGTCCTGTACCCAGTGCCACCAGGATCCAGTGCCAGGGAGGGATAGTGTCACCAGGGTCCTGTACCCAGTGCCACCAGGGTCCTGTGCCAGGGAGGGACAGTGCCACCAGGGTCCTGTACCCGGTGCCAGGGAGGGATGGTGCCACCAGGGTCCTGTACCCAGTGCCAAGGAGGGATAGTGCCGCCAAGGTCCTGTGCCAGGGAGGGACAGTGCCACCAGCGTCCTGTACCAGTGTCAGGAAGAGATAGTGCCACCAGGGTCCTGTACCCAGTGCCAGGGAGGGAT